GTGGACCAAGACTGAATGAAGTCGGACATAAGCGATTCAGAAAGCTCGTTAATCAAAGTAAAAGATAAAGTTTCGATGTCGGCAATTAATTTGCAAATCAAAGCATCCGTCTTTAGATATCCAAGAGCAGTCGAATTCGAGTTCTAAAGTAAATTGGATACCAATACCTCCGATGAGAGCAGGCAACTATTAAGAAATGTCTTATTAAGTTCCTCTTGAACCAAGTTGAAATCTAACTATTGTACTAGAAATCCAAGTTTAAAGTACTTATTAGTCCTCTGAGGGAAAATCACTCGCCAAGTGAATCAAATCTTTCAAAAACTACGAGCACGAATAGCCCCATATGACTTGGTTAAGAACCTCAGTGAAGAATTAATCAATACTTTTCCAGTTTTAAAGAAAATGGCACTGTACTAGGTTTCATTTAACTCACTCCTGGTGTTGTGGGCGCAGTGTGCGTTAAATTGTCTATAGAGCTTTGCTGTGAAGTAGAAGTGGAGGATGTAGATGTAGATGAAAGTGTCTGAACAGAAAAATAGGCCCTTTTTCTTGCAATTGTAAAAAAGTTACAAGAAATGCGTGCACCTCTGCTAAATCCAGCTCCACATCGACCTCGTCGGGATACTGAGATGGATACTGAGGTGGCTATAAGTTTAAAAAAAACTTACTTTTACGGTAGTTGATTTATTTGGTCATTTTTCAGTTGTAACATTATATTTAAAAGGAGAACACATCTTTGATAAGTTCTTGCATTTTTTTACTTTTTGAATCAGTTATGAGGCGAAGATGGAAAAGACATTATAACAGAAACTCTTTGGATCGACTACTCACAGGCTGAGCAAATCCTGCCGATTCTTGTAAAATTGCAGCTGGTGAAGGAGACGAAGGAGAACCAGCAGAAATCCCCGGCATTGCTGACTGAATGAAGAAGAAAAATAGATTCTTTAAAAAAAAATTTTCTTCACAAAATCGATATATAAGGTAAGTCTCGTAGTAAATAACAGAACCTATTCAGCGTGGATTGGCACGTAAGTGTGGAGAAATGGAAAAGACAATAATACAAATAATTTCTTTGGTTTTACGAACTCTAATAGCTCACAGGCTGAGTAAATCCTGCCGATTCTTGTAAAATTACAGCTGGTGAAGGAGTCGAAGGAGAACCAGCAGAAATCTCTGGTGTTTCTGACTGAATGAAGAAAAAATCGACAAAATCGTTATATAGAGTGACTTTTGTAGCAACTAACAGAACCTATTCAGCGTGGATGGGCATGTAAGT